TTTTCTGTCTCATGAACATGCAAGATTTCAGGTACGTCTTGCTACTTCTACTTACACTTAGGTCACACTACACATACATGTACAAGCACATATATACACACCCCTCTGGGTTTTCTTCTATTTTCTTTCTAGTTCTTATTCTTGTTTATTTCCTCTATTCCATGGGGAAGTGGAACAGAATTCTTCCTCCGTAAGCCATGCGTGTTGTAAGAGGCGACTAAAATGCCGGGAGCAAGGGCTAGTAACCTCTTCTCCTGTATATATTACTAAATGTAAAAGGAGAAACTTTTGTTTTTCCTTTTGGGCCACCCCACCTCAGTGGTATAACGGCCGGTGTGTTGAAAGAAGAATATAAATATATATATATATATATATATATATATATATATATATATATATATATATATAATATATATATATATATATATAATATATATATATATATATATATATATAATATAAATATATATATATATATATATATATATATATATAAATATATATATATATAATATATATATTATATATATATATATATATATATATATATATATATATATATATATATATATATATATATATAAATATATATATATATATATATATATATATATATATATATATATATATAATATATATATATATATATTATATATATATATATATATATATATATACTTTTTTTTTTTCAACAATCGGCCGTCTCCCACCGAGGCAGGGTGACCCAAAAAAGAAAGAAAATCCCCAAAAAGAAAATACTTTCATCATCATTCAACACTTTCACCACACTCGCACATTATCACTTTTGGCAGAGGTGCTCAGAATACAACAGTTAGAAGCATACACATATAAAGATACACAACATATCCCTCCAAACTGCCAATATCCCAAACCCCTCCTTTAAAGTGCAGGCATTGTACTTCCCATTTCCAGGACTCAAGTCCGACTATATGAAAATAACCAGTTTCCCTGAATCCCTTCACTAAATATTACCCTGCTCACACTCCAACAGATCATCAGGTCCCAAGTATCATTCGCCTCCATTCACTCCTATCTAACACGCTCACGCACGCTTGCTGGAAGTCCAAGCCCCTTGCCCACAAAACCTCCTTTACCCCCTCTCTCCAACCCTTTCGAGGTCGACCCCTACCCCGCCTTCCTTCCCCTATAGATTTACATGCTTTCCATGTCATTCTACTTTGATGCATTCTCTCTAAATGACCAAACCACCTCAACAACCCCTCTTCTGCCCTCTGACTAATACTTTTATTAACTCCACACCTTTTCCTAATTTCCACACTCCGAATTTTCTGCATAATATTTACACCACACATTGCCCTTAAACAGGACATCTCCACTGCCTCCAACCGTCTCCTCGCTGCTGCATTTACCACCCAAGCTTCACACCCATATAAGTGTGTTGGTACTACTATACTTTCATACATTCCCTTCTTTGCCTCCATAGATAACGTTTTTTGACTCCACATATACCTCAACGCACCACTCACCTTTTTTCCCTCATCAATTCTATGATTAACCTCATACTTCATAAATCCATACGCCAACACGTCAACTCCCAAGTACCTGAAAACATTCACTTCTTCCATACTCCTCCTCCCCAATTTGATATCCAATTTTTCTTTTCTAAATCATTTGACACCCTCATCACCTTACTCTTTTCTATGTTCACTTTCAACTTTCTACCTTTACACACATTCCCAAACTCATCCACTAACCTTTGCAATTTTTCTTTAGAATCTCCCATAAGCACAGTATCATCAGCAAAAAGTAACTGTGTCAATTCCCATTTTGAATTTGAATCCCCAAAATTTAATCCCAACCCTCTCCCGAACACCCTAGCATTTACTTCCTTACAACCCTATCTATAAATATATTAAACAACCATGGTGACATTACACACCCCTGTCTAAGACCTACTTTTACCGGGAAGTAGTCTCCCTCTCTTCTACACACCCTAACCTGAGCCTCACTATCCTCATAAAAACTCTTTACAGCATTTAATAACTTACCACCTATTCCATATACTTGCAACATCTGCCACATTGCTCCTCTATCCACTCTATCATATGCCTTTTCTAAATCCATAAATGCAATAAAAACTTCCTACCTTTATCTAAATACTGTTCACATATATGCTTCAATGTAAAAAACTTGATCTACACATCCCCTACCCACTCTGAAACCTCCTTGCTCATCCGCAATCCTACATTCTGTCTTACCTCTAATTCTTTCAATTATAACCCTACCGTACACTTTTCCTGGTATACTCAGTAAACTTATTCCTCTATAATTTTTACAGTCTCTTTTGTCCCTTTCCCTTTATAAAGGGACTATTACATGCTCTCCGCCAATCCCTAGGTACCTTCCCCTCTTTCATACATTTATTAAACAAAAGTACCAACCACTCCAACACTATATCCCCCCCTGCTTTTAACATTTCTGTCATGATGCCATCAGTTCCAGCTGCTTTACCCCCTTTCATTTTACGTAAAGCCTCACGTACCTCCCCCACACTTACATTCTGCTCTTCTTCACTCCTAAAAGATGGTATACCTCCCTGACCAGTGCATGAAATTAGTGCCTCTGTTTCTTCCTTAACATTTAAAAGTTCCTAAAAACATTCTCGCCATCTACCTAATACCTCCATCTCCCCATCTACTAACTCCCCTACTCTGTTTTTAACTGACAAATCCATACTTTCCCTAGGCTTTCTTAACTTGTTTAACTCACTCCAAAATTTTTTCTTATTTTCATTAAAATTTCTTGACAGTGCCTCTCCCACTCTATCATCTGGTCTCCTTTTGCACTCTCTCACCACTCTCTTTACCTTTCTTTTACTCTCCATATACTCTGCTCTTCTTATAACACTTCTGCTTTGTAAAAACCTCTCATAAGCTACCTTTTTCTCTTTTATCACACCCTTTACTTCATCATATATATATATATATATATATATATATATATATATATATTATTTTTTTTTTTTCATATAGTCGGACTTGAGTCCTGGAAATGGGAAGTACAATGCCTGCACTTTAAAGGGGGTTTGGGATATTGGCAGTTTGGAGGGATATGTTGTGTATCTTTATGTGTGTATGCTTCTAGACTGTTGTATTCTGAGCACCTCTGCAAAAACAGTGATAATGTGCGAGTGTGGTGAAAGTGTTGAATGATGATGAAAGTATTTTCTTTTTGGGGATTTTCTTTCTTTTTTTGGGTCACCCTGCCTCGGTGGGAGACGGCCGACTTGTTGAAAAAAAAAAAAAAAAAAAAAATATATATATATATCTATCTATCTATCAAGCCTTCACCACTTCTTGCCCTGGATGGCTGCCATGTGTTTAATGCCTCTTCAAATATAATATTGTACTGTACATTCTAATTAAATGATGTTAATTATTAAAAACAGAAAGCAGTAACTTGACACATTTTAGTGAAATAACCACCATCTCACTCAACCTTGTACATGCACTAGTAAAACCTACCCTGTTATATTAAATATATGTAAAAACTAAATAGCACAAATGAAGCCTTGTAATTAAGGAGAGATGCAAAAGTTATTCAGGAATACAGTGAACCCTCCCTTTTCATCATTAATCTGTTCCAGATAGATTGGCGAAAACTGAAATCGGCAAAAACCGAAACCATTTTCCCCATAAGAAATAATGTAAATCCAATTAATCTGTTTCAGACACCCAGAAGTATTAACAATTTTTTTTTTTAGCTTAACTATAGATTTACATGCAGAAAAGAATGACAAATAAATATAAAGCACTAATATAATGTATAAATGAACATTTAACACCATACTTACCTTTACTGAAGACTTGTTGGTGTATGGCAGACGGGGTGGAGGGGAGAGGGAGGTGAGTTTATTGTTGGAGATAGGACAATATGCTTCAATATGACACTAATATCAACTCTATGGCTTATTTATCTATCACAATTCATCTAATATGACATAATAAACAATATTAATAACATAGAAACATGACATACTCTAGAATGATTAAAATATGTCATTATGTATGTCACGAATGGTGTTGGGTGTATAAGGGCCACAGAGCATAAGCCGTACATAGTGGTGGTGAAGGCAGCAGCAGAGGCGGCGGTGTTGTCAGGAGCCCTATATAACTCTAACAACAATGGAGGAGTTAGAAAAAGGATAACCCGAACCTATCGATTAATCGCTTAACTTACTTACTACACTGTTAATGATACACTTTATCGCTGGCTGGCGCTATAGCCTTTATCGACTCATGCTGCTTTAGTATCGTACATATCGTAGAATCACTGAAGAAGGCACATTCTCCCCTCTCTCTTCCTCCTCTACTTTGGTACTTTGCTACAATTTCTTTCTTTAATTCTATCATGTTCCTCACTTTCTTTACCAAAGGACTGGCACTTGGAGCTTTCTTTGGGCTCATGGTGGCTTATTTAGCAGTCACACACAATAAACAAGTGCCAAAAACAATGGATTATTACAAAATGTTTCAAATGACCTCGCGGGATATACTCACTCACCAAGAAACAACACATCACTGCCTGAGAATGTGTGTGGGAAGCGGCTTTGTGTGTGCACTGGGCACTGGATAGGTTCCTACCATGGATGAAAATGAAGGAAATCGATGAAAACGGAGGAAATCGATGAAAACAGAGGCAATATTTTAATGAAAAAAGTCAGCAAAAACTGAAATCAGAGATAACAGAGATGGACAAAAAGGGATGGTCCGCTGTATAATCACATTACCATGACTAGAATAATCACAGACTAACAAACGTAATGCAAACTGAATATTCTGGTCTGTCCTGGACCATTTTTGCAGTGCAAAAATGGTCCAGGACAGACCAACTGTAACTTATACAAGTTATTAAAATGTTTCCACAATATACAACTAAAGGTTCCTTAAAATTTAATAAAAAAAATTGTTTTACTTACACCCATACTGAACTGTACATGCTAAAGATTAATATTTAACAAAATGCAGCACTTGTTAAGCATACTCACCATTACGTTTACCATGAAGAATAAGTTTATCCACCAGCCTCTTCTGCTCATCATTGAGGCCCTCCATGCCAACGTTTTCACTAAAGGCCACAACACGATCAAAGATATCTTTCCGCATGCTGAAACATTATACTCAATTTATGAGCATTGCCTATTATTGCAGCTACTACTAACCTTTACTTTACCACCTGTTAATATTTCCCTATCACCTGTATACTGAGCAACTCAAACTCTACACTAAATTAACCAAAAGTCAATCTTAAAATAAAATCACACAGAATATTAAAGGCTAACAAGTGGATTAACTCTTTCAGAGGCCATCACATAGAACTACATTATTGAGGCCAGGGTCCCTTCATGTAATTCTATGTCATGAGCTCAGCTCACTCATAAGCTGTGAGCAGTAGATATAAGAGAATGGGTCTACACAACAAGTGTGCACAGTATAAAACAAATCCTGCTCCTACATGAAGAATGATGGGAAAAAGCAAAATTCTAACCATGTGTTTAGTTTAAAAATGGAAAAGTTGAGGCATTTTCTAGGATGCTTTTTTATGGCTGTATTGGCTATTTCTTGGTACATATCATTTGATAGTATGGAGGACATGATTTTGGTTGGTTTGAAGGCCAAAGTAGCTTGAAATTGGGCTCAAATTAGCAGAAATATTAGATTTTTGCCAATTTTCCTGAGGACAGGTAAGGCCCCTCCTATGTCCCTGGTCTGTTTTAGTTGTGTTTAATAGGTCCGATTCAATTACTGGGATGCTGTAAACGTTGACCAACCATTCCTAGTTACATTTTATCCAAGAGACAGAGTAAATGTATTTTTGTGTGATTATGAATTCAAAATGGAAGGCAAGTGTAATATAAAAGAGGCCTGCGGATGTGATAAATAAACAAGGAAATGTTTTAGTGCCAGGAATGTCTACACTGTTCATTTTGCACTCAATTTTCAAACTGGTATTTTTTTTAAATTTGTGTAAAATTGGCAAAATTATTGACTTCTGTGCACTGTGCTCGATCAATAGAATGGAAGGTATGCGAACAAAACTGCTAAGAATTTGGTTGAATGAAGCATTGGAATTGACTTAAAATAAGAATTAAATTCAGGAAAATCACCCATGAGTAAAAGAGAGGCCCCTACCCCTAGTCACAAACCACATCATTGCACTTAGTCCCCCAGGACATTGGGTTACTTAACTCTCAAAGAAAAATCAAAGAAATAAAAATACTAATGCTCTCAAATTATTAATCCTAAACACTGAATTTGTGGCATACTTAAGAAAAATAAAACATGAATTTATACAATGAAGCTATATAAACCTCCCAAATTTTCACTCATTTTTCTTTGATGTGCATTACAATTTCAATTTTAAAGGTGAGAGCAAACTGTGTGCTATATTGTGGACAAATACAGCCTCCTTCACTTAGCGACGTACTCGTTTAGATGACTCGGATTTATGACAGGCTCTCCGACAAGCATGCATCCCTAAATAATAGAGTACAGTGGACCCCCGCATAACGATCACCTCCGAATGCGACCAATTATGTAAGTGTATTTATGTAAGTGCGTTTGTACGTGTATGTTTGGGGGTCTGAAATGGACTAATCTACTTCACAATATTCCTTATGGGAACAAATTCGGTCAGTACTGGCACCTGAACATACTTCTGGAGTGAAAAAATATCGTTAACCGGGGGTCCACTGTATATTAGAACTGATTTCCTCTATTCTGTTTATTACAATATACAGTACACTCCTGTATAAACATTTAAAAAAACATTAAAAATGTTATAAATGACACAAAGGTGACACTTAAACAATATCAAAGATGGTCGACACAAACCCACTACCATTATAGTATGCTCCTTCCTTAGCGACAAATTTGTTTACCGATGTAGTCTTAGTAATGGAACTCAAGTCATTAAGTGAGGATAGGCTGTATTACAATTTTTTCTTCATTATATAAACCATTAATTAGCATAAAGTCTACATTCACAAAGATCCTTATCATTAAATTGCATTAAATTGGAAGGATTTTCTTGGACAACTGAGGCAAAGTATGCACAAGGTCTTACAAAAAAATAATTTTTTCCTTAACTTCTAACACGCACCTCATTTCTACATCAAATTCCTCCAGCTTTTGCTCAGCTGTACTGGATGCTTCCCGTACAGCTTTGTCTGTTGCTGCGTGTTGAGGGAAATCCAGTGGAGACCCCATTGTTGTTCTCTCTGCCATTAAATCTGCTAGCTGCTGCAGTAAACAACCATTTAAACTTATTCAATTCACAGAATAGAATATCCATCACTGTATTATGCGCATTACTAAATGAAGTACACAGTTTGTCGACCAACTTGTTATAAGAACATAAGAAAGAAGGAACACTGCAACAGGCCTACTGGCCTAGGTGAGGCAGCTCCAATTCTCCCACTGGCTTAAGCCAATGCCCTGACCTAGTGAGGTCAGACACGTCACTTCTGGGAGGAGCTCAGCATCCAACCTAGTAGCACAAGTTAGTCAGGTCCAACTCATACCCACCCACACCCACTCGTGTATTTATCCAACTTATTTTTAAAACTACACAACGTCTTAGCGTCTACAATGGTACTCGGGAGTTTGTTCCACTCATCCACAACTCTATAACCAAACCAGTGCTTTCCTATATCCTTCCTGAATCTGAATTTTTCCATTTTAAAGCCATTGCTGCAAGTCCTGTCTATGTTAGATATTTTTAGCACACTATTTACATCCCTTTATTAATTCCCATTTTCCATTTATACACCTCAATCATATCCCCCCTTATTCTATGCCTTTCTAGAGAGTGCAGATTCAGGGCCCTCAGTCTATCCCCATAAGGAAGATTTCTGATACATGGGATCAACTTTGTCATCCTCCTTGTACGTTTTCCCGTGCATTTATATCCACTCTGTAATACGGTGACCAAAACTGTGCAGCATAATCTAAATGAGGCCTAACCAAAGATATATAGAGCTGAAGAACAACCTAAGGACTTTTATTATTTATACTTCTAGCTATGAAGAGAAGGATTCTGCTAGTTTTATTTTGAGCACTAATGCACTGTTGTCTTGGTTTTAGATTACTACTAACCAGAACTCCTAAATCCTTTTCACAATCCGTAATATTAAGATCTACATTATTTAGTTTATATGTGGCATGGTTATTTTCCTGTCCAACATTTGCATTTGTCTATATTAAACTGCATCTGCCACTTCTCCGACCACTGCAAGAGCCTATTCAAATTATCCTGGAGTGCTCTAATGTCCTCATTGGAATGAATTGGACAGCCTATTTTGGTGTCATCAGCAAATTTGCTTATGTTACTATTTATCCCCTCATCTATGTCGTTTATGTAGATTGTGAACAACAAGGGGCCCAACACTGACCCCTGTGGAACACCGCTTGTGATGTGCCCCCATTCTGATTTCTCCCCATTTATGCAAACTCTCTGCTGCCTATTCGTCAACCATGCCTCAACCCAGGAAAAAATTTCTCCTCCTATTCCGTGTCCCTTAAGTTTCCTCAGTAGCCTCTGATGTGGAACTCTATCGAAAGCCTTACTGAAGTCCATATACACAATATCATATTCAATACCATGATCTACCTCCTTAAATACCTTAGTGAAGAAAGTTAATAAATTCGTAAGACAGGAACGCCCATTTGTAAAACCATGCTCAGATTCATTAATCAATTTATGCCTTTCGAGATGGCTACGTATAGCTTCGGCAATTATTGATTCCACAAATTTTCCCACTATGGAGGTAAGGCTTATTGGTCTATAGTTCGAAGCTAAGGACCTGTCACCTGCCTTGTAAATAGGTATTACATCTGCCATCTTCCATTTATCAGGGACTATGCTAGTTTGCAGTGTTATGTTGAAAAGATTAGCCAAAGGTATGCTAAGTTCCTCTTTACATTCCTTTAACACCCTTGCCAACAGTTCATCAGGGACTGGGGATTTGTTAGGTTTTAATTTCTCTATTTGTCTGAGAACCATATCACTAGTTACCGCAATCGTGCACAGTTTATCATCATGTTCTACATAATCTATTATTTCTGGAATTTTGCTACTAGTATCTTCCTGAGTAAAAACTGAGAGGAAGTAGGAACTGAAAATTTCACACACATCCTTATCACTATCAGTGATCTGACCTGAGTTACTCTTAAGTGGGCCTATCTTGTCCCTAATCTGAAAGAACTCTTTTGGGTTAGTCTTCGAATCCCTTGCGACCTTAGCCTCATAATCCCTTTTTGCTTTTCTTATTCCTTTTTTTTATTTCTCTTTAATTGAATACGTATACTGATTTCTTAACTGCTCCTCCCCTCTTTTGATACGCCTATATATGCCTCTCTTTTGACCAATGAAATGTTTTAATCTATTGTTCATCCATATGGGATCATTTTTATTTTTTATTTATTTATTAACACATCGGCCGATTCCCACCAAGGCAGGGTGGCCCGAAAAAGAAAAACTTTCATCATCATTTACTCCATCACTGTCTTTCCAAAGGAGTGCTTTACACTAAAGTTATAAAATTGCAACATTAACACCCCTCCTTCAGAGTGTAGACACTACTTCCCATCCCCAAGACTCAAGTCCAGCCTGACGGTTTCCCTGAATCCCTTCATAAATGTTACTTTCCTCACCCTCCAACAGCACGTCAAGTATTAAAAACCATTTGTCTCCATTCACTCCTATCAAACACGCTTATGCACGCTTGCCGGAAGTCCAAGCCCCTCACACACAAAACCTCCTTTACCCCTCCCTCCAACCCTTCCTAAGCCAACCCCTACCCTGCCTTCCCTCAACTATAGATTTATACACTCTCGAAGTCATTCTGTTTTGTTAGATCTAATTTCCCTACTCTGAACAAAAGTTGTCTGGACAGCTAGAAATATGCTCTGAAAAATGTCATATTGGCAACAAAGACCACCTACCTGACCCATAGTCAGCACATGTCAATTTAGCCCACCCAGGTAATTTTTCAGCCCCGTGAAATCGGCCAAGCGAAAGTCTGGGGACAGAGATTCGATTGCAGCTATCCAGGCAACTCCATTATATATTGAAACTAAGTGATTTGTGATTGCTTTCCCCAAGCTCATCATTAACCTCAATATTATCAACTAGTGATTCTTTGTTGGCAAGAACCAAGTCAAGTAGACTGTTTCCTCTAGTTGGTTCTGTCACAAACTGTTTTAAAAAGCAATCCTGAACTGTATCAAGAAAGTCACTAGACTCAAGGTTTCCTGCCACATTGTTCCAATCAATTTGTCTAGTTAAAGTCTCCCATTAACACAACATTTTCATATCTAGATGCCTTATGAATTTCATCCCATAGAAGCTTACTGCACTCTCAATCAAGGTTTGGAGGCCTATAAATCACGCCAAAGATTAACTTTTCACAACCCTCGAGAAACTGTAGCCAAACAGATTCTGTGTCCGATGTTTCTAATCTTATATCTTGTCTAACACAATAATTTAAATTATCTCTGACATACATCGCCACTCCACCACCCTTCCTGTTGACCCTATCAGTATGGAATAGTTTATAACCCTGTATGTTGCATTCATAAGGCATTTCTCTATCTATATTACCTGCACTTGCAAGTAATCTTAGCTCATCTATCTTATTTCTTAGACCCCTATTATTTGTATAGTAAACCTTAAGGGAGCTAGTCACTCATTGCCCTCTACAATCTCTCTATGTTTGCTGATCAATTGCTTTGCCTTTACCAGCAACTTTATTTTGAATATTGTTTTTTAAACATATCCCTGAGGTATCTGGTTATATCTGCCGTTTTCAACTCTAGTACTGCAGCCTGACTGTTTCCCACAGACACCCATACCTCTATAATCTATCAGTTTAAAGTCTGAGACATGTCACCAATAACCCCCTCAATTGAATTGGCTAAGAGAGATGAACTCCATCCCTTGCATACATATCACATTTGCTATAGAATATGTCCCAGTTATCAATGAATGGGATTGCAAATTCCTTGCAATACCTGTCTAGCCAGCAATTTATACCAATTGCCCTAGACATCCATTCATTGCCAACTCCCCTTCTAGTGAGATGCTACATATGATTGGGATCCCTCCCTTAGACCTGACTACATCTATGGCTGACCTGTACGTATCCAGCAGCTCCTGTCTCCTGCCATTCCCGATGTAATTTCCAACAGCACTAAGACAGATAATGGGCTTGTTCCCATTCCCTGACATATTATTATCCAACCTGCTAACTATGTCACCAACACCAGCTCCCGGGGGAGACACCCTCTGTCTGATCTTTCTATCTCTCTTACAAAAAGCATGGTCCATATTTCTTACCTGAGAATCTCCCACAATCGGAATATTCTTATCCTGATAAGCAGAGGAGTCAGTGGTACCTTTAATCTCACTAACCACTGAAGTACACTCATCCTGTAGAACAGAGAATCGATTTCCTACCTTCACATCTTTTCTATTAACCTTCCTTATCATCCTCCTTCCTGAATTGTAAACCACTTGCCACTCAAAGTGGCTGCCACTCTAAATCACTGCTGGTAACTTTTTCCTCCTCACCAGCTACAACCTTTTCACACACTCCCAAATCCATCTAGACGAAGCTTCAGCCTCCCATTTTCCTCCTGAAGAAGTAGAATCTCCTTCAACACTTTAACCCAAAATTCTAAAACACTACAACAAGCCATGGTGCTAGGCAACACCCCACACTAATCCCAGACAGCTTAGGACAGGTATGACCACACGTGACCACTGAGCACTGACCACTGTACTGTATTTACATACTATACTATACTGTGCTATAAGGAACCTTAGTATAATGATTTTTCAGCTATGCTTTTTAACCCTTTGACTGTTTTCGACGTATAAATACGTCTTACGAGCCAATGTTTCTGACGTATATATACTCAATAATTCTAGCGGCTTCAAATCAAGTGGGAGAAAGCTGGTAGGCCCACATGTGAGAGAATGGGTCTGTGTGGTCAGTGTGCACCACATAAAAAAAATCCTGGAGCACACATTGCGTAATGAGAAAAAAAAAACTCTGATCGTTTTTTTGGAATAAAACGCCGACTTTGAGGTGTATTTTCGTATAGTATTTATCGTTGTATTCGCGTTTTCGTGGTCTTAGGTGATAAAATGGAAAACATATTATAGAAATAGAGATGATTTTCATTACTTTTACGATGAAAACGACCTTGAAACTGAGCTCAAAGTAGCGGAAATGTTCGATTTTTACCAATGTTCAAGAGTACATAAATCACACCACACGTCCAATACACGTCAACTGGGGAGTCTAATATTCTTTCACTAGTGCACTGATATTATTTATACCATTTTTACAATAATGCAGTCGTCTGCATAACAGTAAATTTTGTATTTTTTTGTATGAATAAAAAATCAAAATAGAAAGCAATAATAATATAAGAGGGGCCTAGAGATGTGACTAATGAACAGAGCATATGTTATTTTAGTGTCACGAATGTCTACCTTGTTTATTCTGGACCCTATTTTGAAATTGGCATCTTTTTTATTTTGCGTGAAATTGGCCAAATTGCCAATTTCTGACCACCATATTGGGTAGTCCAAATTAGTAAAAGGGAGGTTTCTTGTACTCAGCTGATAGATAAAATGGAGTTCTAAAGAAATAGCTATGAGTTTGGTCAACTGGAACAATGGAATTGGCTGAAAATTGGGCTCAAAGTCGGCGAAATCGCCGATACGCATATGTCGCCGAGACCGCTAACTTCGCGGGAGCATAATTCCACGAGTTTTCGACCAAATTTCGAACTTTTGGTGTCATTACCATCGGGAAAAGATTCTCTATCATTTCACAAGAAAAAATAATTTTTTTTTTTTCAAAAATTGAGCGACATAGAATGACAGTTTCAGAGAGGGGCCTGAAACAGTCAAAGGGTTAATAACTTTTGCTTTAGGAAACTTTTACTGTATGTTTGCAATGGTGCAACATACATGCATGCTTATAGTTTCATGGAATTCGGTTTAAAATGATAAAAAAAATAAAAACATAAATATTGGGCATTCATCATTTTTGCCAAATATTGCTTTTTAGAACTGCCTTGTATATAAACTTAAAAAAAAAATCCAATATATACTGTACATCTATAAATAAGAAAGATAGCTACTAAAAGTCAGAGTAAAAATCAAGCTTTCCACAGGTCACATTCTTCCATCACCAAGTCCAGCAGAACACCGAGATAGAAAAATGGTATTTAGAAAATAATTTGGTGATCAATGTTTTCTCAAATGAGAAAAGGAAAAAACAAACAGTGCTTTAAGAGTAAACAAATTAATTTTTAATGTTAGTTTTACAAGGTCAAGCTTCTAGGTAAGTGGTTATCACTACAATCACATTTTCCAATATTTTCCTCACATACAAGTCATTTAAAAGCAAGTCTTTAAATGTTTTGAAGAATAAAAAGCCTAAACAATTTGTGCATTAATTTTAATGATTGGATTAATTATATTAAAGGTCATTAATTATACTATTTGAATTACAAATACCTTTTTTTCATAAACTTTAGATTATGCTCACCTTGATAACATTTTCATAGGTCACTTTGTCCAACGGCAATAATCCAATGCTATCATAAGCGGCTCTTTGAGCGAGAATAAGAGCATCGGTCTGTTTTTCGATATCCTCTGGAGTCACCTTCCTGAAGTCATACATTCCACTGATTCTCGGAGGTGCTGGCATGGTGCTGATCTGGAGAATAAAATATACTGTACTGTACATTACATTAAAAAAAAGCATCACAATTTACAAGCAGTGGTGCCTAACCAAGCTGGAGCTGATCAATTGTATAATTAGAAAAGCATTCTCAAGAAGATATATTTAGAACTAAAAACAAGCAGATACAAATTGTGCTTTTCATGGTTAAGGATGCTTTTACCTACCTTTCATGGTAAAGAAAATCTTGACCAGTTGTATATATTCTTCATACAATCCTCAAACTTAATGACATATGTGACACTGCATTAACCTTTTGTAGTGTAGTTTACAGTACATATAGCACAAGTGAAGTCACATGACATTTTCTCCATACCTGTATACACGATTTCCGTACTGATATAATGCTAATTGCATTGTTTGATGGAACATTTTTTGTTCTTTTATGGAGATTTAGACTTATACTTTCCCTTGCAAGGAAATAGAATGAATAACAGTAATTCACTATTCATGTGTCAGATGGTAATAATTCATCACTCCTGCAGCATCACTAAAATCTATCAATTTAGCTTGGTTCTGGTCTGCTTCTACCTGGAGTTATATCCCTGTAGTACAACTATATAAATAAATTCTTGTACACTACTCCATGAAATATGTCATCATGGCAATGATTCATTATGCATACACATGCCAATGTTTTGATTTGTGTTGTATTCTAAGATGTTAAAATTAACTCTTGCACAAATGGACAGTTATACAATATACACCAAACCTGTAAGGGTCATACGTAGCCTGCAAACAGGTACACCTATACACTGTGGATTGACTGGCAACATTTTTGCCTCACACACTGGGTGTCCATGGTTCAATCCCTAGCATGGGGTGGAAAAGTTGGTCATACTTCCTTACATCTGCCATCCCTGTTTGCCTAGCAATAAGTAGGTACCAGGTGTTAGTCGACTGTTGTGAGATACATCCTGTGCAACAAGATTAAAGGATCACAATGGAAATAAGACAGTGTCTCCTCAATGACAGACTTTCTTGGGTTATTCTGGGTGGCTAACCATCCGGGTTAAAAATTCAAACAAATCATATCTTAATTCACTGCAAAATCCACAAATCTAAGTGAAATTGAAAACTTTCAGAACTCTTAAAAAATTTAGGTAATTTACAAGTCAGCCATTACTCATTCACATAGCCATTCACTAGCCCCTTGAAGGTAGCCTTTCACAGCCCTTTAAGGTACCTTTCACCAGCCCCTTGAAGGGTAGCCTTTCACCAGCCCCTTGAAAGGTAGCCTTTCACCAGCCCCTTGAAAGGTAGCCTTTCACCAGCCCCTTGAAAGGTAGCCTTTCACCAGCCTCTTGAAAGGTAGCCTTTCACCAGCCCCTTGAAAGGTAGCCTTTCACCAGCCTCTTGAAAGGTATCTTTCACCAGCCCCTTGAAAGGTAGCCTTTCACCAGCCCCTTGAAAGGTAGCCTTTCACCAGCCTCTTGAAAGGTAGCCTTTCACCAGCCCCTTGAAAGGTAGCCTTTCACCAGCCTCTTGAAAGGTATCTTTCACCAGCCCCTTGAAAGGTATCTTTCACCAGCCTCTTGAAAGGTAGCCTTTCACCAGCCTCTTGAAAGGTAGCCTTTCACCAGCCCCTTGAAAGGTATCTTTCACCAGCCCTTGAAAGGTATCTTTCACCAGCCTCTTGAAAGGTAGCCTTTCACCAGCCTCTTGATAGGTAGCCTTTCACCAGCCCCTTGAAAGGTACTTTCACCAGCCTCTTGAAAGGTAGCCTTTCACCAGCCTCTTGAAAGGTAGCCTTTCACCAGCCCCTTGAAAGGTATCTTTCACCAGCCCCTTGAAAGGTATCTTTCACCAGCCCCTTGAAAGGTATCTTTCACCAGCCCCTTGAAAGGTATTCTTTACCACCAGCCCCTTGAAAGGTATCTTTCACCAGCCTCTTGAAAGGTATCTTTCACCAGCCTCTTGAAAGGTATCTTTCACCAGCCTCTTGAAAGGTAGCCTTTCACCAGCCCCTTGAAAGGTAGCCTTTCACCAGCCCCTTGAAAGGTAGCCTTTCACCAGCCCCTTGAAAGGTAGCCTTTCACCAGCCTCTTGAAAGGTAGCCTTTCACCAGCCCCTTGAAAGGTAGCCTTTCACCAGCCTCTTGAAAGGTATCTTTCACCAGCCTCTTGAAAGGTAGCCTTTCACCAGCCCCTTGAAAGGTAGCCTTTCACCAGCCCCTTGAAAGGTAGCCTTTCACCAGCCCTTTGAAAGGTAGCCTTTCACCAGCCTCTTGAAAGGTATCTTTCACCAGCCCCTTGAAAGGTATCTTTCACCAGCCTCTTGAAAGGTAGCCTTTCACCAGCCTCTTGAAAGGTATCTTTCACCAGCCCCTTGAAAGGTATCTTTCACCAGCCTCTTGAAAGGTAGCCTTTCACCAGCCCCTTGAAAGGTATCTTTCACCAGCCCCTTGAAAGGTATCTTTCACCAGCCCCTTGAAAGGTATCTTTCACCAGCCTCTTGAAAGGTAGCCTTTCACCAGCCCCTTGAAAGGTAGCCTTTCACCAGCCCCTTGAAAGGTAGCCTTTCACCAGCCCCTTGAAAGGTAGCCTTTCACCAGCCTCTTGAAAGGTAGCCTTTCACCAGCCCCTTGAAAGGTAGCCTTTCACCAGCCTCTTGAAAGGTAGCCTTTCACCAGCCTCTTGAAAGGTAGCCTTTCACCAGCCTCTTGAAAGGTAGCCTTTCACCAGCCTCTTGAAAGGTAGCCTTTCACCAGCCTCTTGAAAGGTAGCCTTTCACCAGCCTCTTGAAAGGTATCTTTCACCAGCCCCTTGAAAGGTATCTTTCACCAGCCTCTTGAAAGGTAGCCTTTCACCAGCCCCTTGAAAGGTATCTTTCACCAGCCTCTTGAAAGGTAGCCTTTCACCAGCCTCTTGAAAGGTATCTTTCACCAGCCCCTTGAAAGGTATCTTTCACCAGCCTCTTGAAAGGTAGCCTTTCACCAGCCCCTTGAAACATTAAAAGTGTCGGGAATGTATGGGGATTAGCAAATTTAGATACAGGTACACAAATACAATAATCATACCTACTAACATATGCAAATTACATAGGATAACAAAAAAAAAGTCAGCAACTTATTTCTAGACTGAGAAGACTTATTTCTACTGGGTTATTACATAGGGGTGCCCCCACGCCAGCCACTTTTACGAATCTACAATGGAATGGTCATCCAGGTCATGCACAAAGTATTCCCTTCAATGTATTAACCATGGTTTTCTGGTGATAAATAAGACTGTACACGCTAGTGTGTCTTCCTGACCTACAGTCTGGCATGGACTGTGCATCACAATATTAACTCTAACTTACAGTAAGTAACCTCTTGTAGATATAGCGATTTAAAGATGCCCCGTTGCCGTTGCGAGCACTTGAAAAGATAATGCCAGATGGGCAGACTCTCACCACCTTGGATAAAACTGCCGCACAACGTAAGGTGATAACTGCAGACGCTGGCATGGAGACTAGTACTACCGTACCTCCAGTTTAACAATGCTCTTCGCTTGATACGGTTTTTATTCAGCAGTTTATAATGAAAACCACTTCAATTATTTAACGATTTATTTATATAAGGACTAGTTTTAGTCATCTCTATTCACCGATTAATTGAACTATTGAGGATTCTTTGCATTTGTTCAGCCTAAGCCGAGTACTCGGGCATAATTCCGAATACAATGTTGTTACAGAGACAACAGAGACGAGACAGGCGCAGGGTTAATTAATGATGTGTCATTAACAAATTATTAGCCTGCTTAATAACCTTTGTCGTATATCAAAATAAACAATATATATCCCCTTCACACTATGTACTAGGATTATTTTAATATGTAACGTGCAACTTTTACCACCTGTAATAATTACGAGTGCTGTAAATGTAAAGGAAAACTTATTAACTTGATACAAGTATTATAAATTTTACATATTACCTATTATTAAAATACTTCACGATCTCTAAACTTACATATATTAATATATCGCTAAAGCGAATGAAATAAAACAAGCTTTACAATCACCTATCACAAAGCTAACAGAGGGAAAATTCTTAGGAATCCACCTTGATAATACTCAAATTTCATACACATATACAACAAATTTCTAAGAAAATTTCCAAGACTGTAGGCATACTATCGAAGATACGGTACTATGCTCCACAGTCAGCCCTCCTGGCCCTATATCACTCTCTTATTTACCCCTATCTCACCTATGGAATTTGTGCATGGGGCTCAACAACAATTAACCATCTCAGACCACTAATTACCTAACAAAAGGCTGCAGTTAGAATGATAACAAATTCTCACTACAGGCAGCACACTCCACCAATATTCAATACACTAAACCTACTCACCATACAAAACATCCATACTTATTACTGCACCTATTACACACATAGAACACTTAACTCTGATATTAACCCTCCCCTCAAACATCTCCTTGCCAACCTCAACAGAACACATGACCATAACACAAGGCACAGATCACTCTTTGATGTTCCTCGTGTCCATCTCACACTATGCAAAAACTCAATGCACATAAAAGGCCCTAAAATCTGGAATTCATTACCTGTAAATATAAAAGAAACACTACCTGTTTATAAATTCAAGTCTCTTCTCGAAGATCACTTACTCACCCAAAACCAAATAAATACTGAATAACTGAACCTTATAAATTGTATATCTTAAATGTTTCTCACAATTATATCACATAAATGTTAAACCTAAAACCCAATCTAACTACCTAACAGAATACTCCATACGAATGAATGTACAACAATGCATGCAACCATATGACCTGTCTTTGTAATACTCACTTGTGCTTTATAGTAATCTGTTTACATTAATGTTTTATCACTGATTTCATCATTGCTTAGTTAATCTTAAGTTAATTTTAAGCCAGCCCGTAATGCTATGCATAGTATAAGTGGCTTTGGCATGCTGCTCTTATCTGTATTTTTTGTACCTCTGTATGTGTGCTCAAATTGTTAATAAATAAATAAATAAATAAATCCACTGATGATGAATATAACGGATGGACATCTTAATTGTAAAGGTGGCGCTAGTAACGCTCGTATATGTAAATATATAGTAGTCTTCAGCATTATACACCAAACTCTGGTTTCCCTTCAAAACGAATAAATCTTTCGCCTTTTACATTATAAACCACTGTTCATCTGAATCAAATTGTGATCATGTTACATTTCGGCTTTGACCCCGAATAATGGGATTAAAAAAAAAATCCTATTCCTACACAAACGTAATTAATTTTGTGTATAACAGAGGTGACTCCGTTACTACACATGACAGAAGTAGTACATCCAGCAGGTATATTCCCCATACGAGACCGAGATGTGAAAATTTGTGTGGACTGCCTCCAAGTGAGTCGCCTACCCTGGCAAACTCTGTTGACACCGAGCTCTGAGGTGGGTACCTCAGCCTCACAAGTGGCTTACAGGACAGATTTTCACAAATGATTGATGTTGCAAGAAACTCGCCTGCATGCACGTATAAGGGACTAACTTACTTGGTGTTGCAGCATATATTCTGATCTTCAACTTCCCTAAGCTTAGCCTTAGCCCCTCTGGACTTTCCCTCAGAAACCACGTGCAACCGGGAGCCTTAATTCCTGCAATATTCAATCTTTATTAGTGTCCTGCCTGCACCTCAGAAATTCCTATATCCAAGAGGGTATGTATCCCCTAGTATAACTATGCAGACACGGACACTAGCGTCCAGACTGCCTTGAGACACTGGTACTTACTGGGCATGCACTGCCTGTTGCACACCGGGCCCACAGATCAAACTCACTCACAATCTCCCCAGACACTGGCCAGAAATCTACGAGATAAAGTGGAGGTCTTGTCTTACTGTATGGGCCTGACGGAGGTCATCTACGGTACATCGAGGTGCCTCTACCAGATTTCCCCAGGTCTCAAATGTGAAGACACGTGGGGGGCGCCGTCTGCTGATCACGGCACGTCTTGTCCAGTTGGTGTCTGTCTTAAGAAGAACGAGCTGGTCTCTCTTCCAGACCCTCGTCTCTTCGTTCAAACTAGGGCTGCCAGTTCTCCCTAGCTAGCTTATCCTAGTGTTTGCCTACATTATCGGCCTATTACTACCTATGTTAAGGTCTTAGGTCTACATTATTATTATCTACAGTTGCCTTAGTAAACATAATATTAATATACTAACAGTAAAACTACCTACTCCTTCCCTGAAGAGTAAATCTATAAATTAAATAAATGCCTACCATCCACGCCACCCCTCGGGGAGAGAAATGTGTTTATGATTGGGGAGAACGCCTTTTGTTTGGGCGAGTTTAAGGGCCACCCAGCTCAGCCGCTCCATTACGGCCATGTTGGATCGGTCCTGTGGAACTTTAGGGACCAAATAAATTTCCACACGAGACGACCATTTCTCACTGCTCATCCCTTCTCCATTCATTCATTTATTCATTCACTCTCACTCGTCGTCAAGCAAGACATGCAAGCTTCCACGTGTCTTACAATCTTCCTACAATAATAAATTGAATTAATAATAATATAAAACTAATAATTATATAATGTGACAAATGGGTATTATTATAATCATGGGGAGCGCTAAACCCATAGGATTATACAGCGCAAGTGGGGGGGGGGATGAGAGGCATTCAGGCTCAATGCAGCACAGATCCAATTCCCTAGATCAAGAGCCCCTCATCAGCGTCAAGGAACTTCCCTTGAGGGGTGCCGAATAGGTAAGACTTGTGATTTTTGTCCCGAATGTTTTTTTCATTTTTCCATCAACGTATATGACATTTTATTCCAGTATTACAAGGATATTTATGCACGATAAGATTTTGTTTGTTTGGATTTTTAACCCAGGAGGGCTAGCCACCCAGGATAGCCCAAGGACTGTGTCTTATTTCCATTGGGGTTCTTAAATCTTGTCCCCCAGGGTGCAACACACACCAGTCGACCAACACCCAAGGACCTACTTGCTTGCTTGCTAGATGAACAGGACAGCAAGTGTAAGGAAATGCGCCCAATGCTTCCACCCTTGCTGGGGATCGAACCATGGACGCTCAAGTTTGTGAAGCAAGAGCGTTGCATACCAGGCCACGGGAAACGGGATAAAGCTCTTGATCCAAACGAGCTATCCCCCTTCTCAGATCGAATCTGACCGCCTCCTATTTCCCAAGGAGCCTCTGACCCCGATGGGTTTAGAGCTCTCCCCATGAACCAGGAACGAAAAAAAATTAGTACTGCACCTGTCGTATTTATATATCTTTTTCGGTGATTTTTGGAGAGAAGTTAAATACTATCTCATCAAACAATAAGATACGGTGTTTATTAAACTTAATTCATAATTTGCTTAGGATATAAAGTTTTTCTTGCAGAAGAGTTGTTCAACTGATAACGTGGTTACATTACTGTACATCTAAAAAAATGTCAAACAGAAACAACGTTTTTGTGAGTTTCAATACCATTATCAAGTTGCATAATTGGTAATAATAATATAATAAAACTAAGCGCTAAACCCGAAAAATGCATAATTGGTAGCGGCCTGTTAACACACAGGGACCGAGGTCTGATGCTCGGACAAGTGGCAATGTTGGACATACTTCCTTAAACCTGCCGGGGAATTTAACATCGTACAGCAATTGGGTATCTTTATTTGAAGACATTTCGCCAACCAGTAGCTTCACCATCACAGAGATTATTTGAATATGTTGAAATGAGACAGTAGAAGACCAGGTAATCAGTCCCTCAACATGGAAGGAAAATTTCAGTATTTTTTTTTTTTATGAATCTGAAGGCTTCCCCAGGATGCTAGTCGCATCCTGGGGAAGAATATTAAAGTAAAAGAATGGAAATAAGACATTATTTTACTGGATTATCTTAGGTTACTAATCTTCTGGGTTAATAATCCTAACAAATCCTAGCAAAACTCTTTATTTTCTGTGCACGCAATTTTGAGGATCAATTTTTTATATACTTGCTGGAGGACCTGCCATCTCATCTTACGGTCATCATATGACCGTAACATGTGATGGGTCATCATATGACCGTAACATGTGATGGGTCATCATATGACCGTAACATGTGATGGGTCATCATATGACCGTAACATGTGATGGGTCATCATATGACCGTAACATGTGATGGGTCATCATATGACCGTAACATGTGATGGGTCATCATATGACTAAGACAGCGTCAGGGAAAATGTTCATATGGGGAGATATGGTGATGTCAACAATGTAGACACACGTATGAACGATTTAAAACATTTGGAGAAACATTTCGTCTTGAACTGTACATATTTTTCACCTGATAAGATTCACCATCTCTTCAGAGCGTTTCTAACATATTCGACTATAGCGGCAATATTGTACGTAAATTTAACATTTTCTTGGATGATTAAGATCATGGTGGTTTAAATGTCGCTTTTTTTTTTTGTAAACATGAAAGTATTATTATCCCCCATCATACTTCTTATATTCAAAGGGGAG